GGTTGGGGGGGGAGGATGGTGGCACGAGAGCGGCGGATGTGACGCTAGGGTTGGGGGGGAGGAGGATGGGAATCGGCGATTTGGGGAAGGAAGAGAACTCAACTCAATTTGGGGACGGAGTGAAAAAATAGCGATTTGGGGTTTCTTTGCTGACCTGGTGCCTTCCACGTGGGCACGATTTGAGAGAGCGAGCCCAGGAGCGAGCCAAATAGCATTATTGTATATATATATATATATACTTACACATCTTGGTTTTTAGTTTTATCCACAAACAAAGTTTTTACAAATAAATTCCAAAAATTATGTATACATGTTTGTTTTCTATGTGGATAAGTTGTTTTGATTTAATTTCATACTCATATTTATATACATACTCATATTTTTCATATTCTATTGTATTTGTAAAAATATTGTATTCATTATTTATAGACTTTATAACAATAGTTTATATCTTTCTTCAAGTATATAAAATTATTTTGTAAAGTTTCAAAATATGGTTTAGGCAAAATATCGAAATTCATATGTTTACATTTCTATGTTTTGGACCTCCTTACAAAATGATGATATTTTACATTTGGGAAGTTCTTTTTGAAAACCAGTTTCTGTAGCATGTTTATTATCATGAAAATGATGATATTTTACATTTGGGAAGTTCTTTTTGAAAACCAGTTTCTGTAGCATGTTTATTATCATGTCTAAAATCATTTCTCAAAGTTTTACAATTTTTAGAATTTATTTAATATTTTTAAACCATGTTTTATGTTGACATGTACTGTTTAAAACAAGCTGTGTGCATGTCTTGAGTCGACTCATGAATAGTGTTGAGTCGACTCATAAACTGTTGTGTATTATACATTTTGTTTCTGATGAGTCGACTCATAAACATCATGAGTCAATCCAGACAGGTTGAGTTGACTCATGCCTGTCATAAGTCGACTCACAAACTGTGTTGGAAAGTATGTTTTGTTTCTGCTGAGTCGACCCTGTAGGCGTATAAAAACTGCTTATAGGTCCCTTAACACAGCTCAGCACGGTGATTCGATAAACCAACGAACCATCGGGCGACGTATCCAAACACGATCGTTAGTCCACAATACCGAAGCCAAATGTCACGCGACGAAGCGGATTAACGAGGCGACGAGGCTAACGAACCGCACGCAAGCAATGGAATACATCCACTCGCGTGCGGAATCAAGCTAACAGTTCGGTGAGTCAACGATTCATCCAACCATAGAACGGATTCGAACTCGAACACCGAAGCGGATTTACTGCCAAATCAGGATCCGGACTGTCAAATCAGAGTTCAGATCAACGACGAAGCTCAGATAAACCGCGAAACCGCAGAAACGGACAACACGACACACACCTGGAAGGCTCGGCAAAAGCCAAGTCACCAGGGTGGCTCGGCAACCGAGCCACCTCTAGGTGGCTCGGTGGCCGAGCCACCACTTGGTGGCTCGGCCAAGGCCGAGCCACCTAGGTGGCCGGCCGAGCCACCTAGGTGGCCGAGCCACCCTGATCTGGGCCCAGATCTAGGAGGTGGCTCGGTGGCCGAGCCACCAATTGGTGGCCGGCCAGATCTATGCCAAGGCACAAATCTGAGTGCCTATAAATAGGACTTGAGGGCTCATTTGTGAAAGGTTGGAACTTTTGGAGGCGAAGCTCTGCTGGATTGAGATCTCGATTTTGAAAGTTCGGAGCTTTGAAGACTTGGAGGTTTTCAGATCTGGTTCTTAGCGAGCATCCACGTCAGAAAAGGCAGGAGTTCGAGAAAGGAAGATCATATCTGAGATCCACACGGTAATACTCCGGATCAAAGCTTGGCCTTTGATCCCGAGAAGGCGATTATTTCCTTGGTGAATTAATCCTCCCCGGCTATTATTTCCTTCGTGAGATAATACCCATCATACCGTGTAGATCCGACCAGATCTAGATCGCGTGGTGGTCCACAGATTAACCCCGGCGCAGGCGAAGAACCCACAAAAGCGAGTGACCGCAAAACAGGAGCTCGCGATTCGTTCGACAAATAAGGAAAGTTTTAATTTTCATTTTCTTTTGATTTTATTGTAACCGGATCTTATAAAAAGACCGGATCTTTGTAACCGATAAACTGTTAACAAAGGAATCAATGGAATCAGTAAAGAAAACAATTTTTCCCGCGAACAATCTGGCAACCACAGTGGGATCCACCGATCTCGCTACCGAGATCGATGCGTCGCAGGCGCGGATCTCAATCCCGATCGAAGAGGAGGTCGAGTACGAATTCGACCAACAGAAGTTTGAGGAGTATATGTCATCCTCGTCCAGACCGACCTCCCCTCGCAAGTCCAAGAAGTTCTCCTCCAGAAGAAAGGTACGTTGGTACGAAGAAGTTGAAGCTACCAACGACGATCTCACCCCGATTGACGCCAAAGTTGCGTCGAGTGAGGCTCCACCAACCTCCAACCAGATCAAGCTGGTTCCAACCAATTCCTCCGTCACCAAAGGAGCGGTGACTCTCTCAAAGAGAGCCCGCCAGAGGCGACGTCAACGCCTTACGCGGCAATTCGCAAAAGCGATAGAGTCCAACGACGGAGTCCGCTATCACGCGGATCTGAAGAACAGGAGAGGCAAACAGCCTCAACAACCACTGAGTGGTAGCTCCCCAAAGCCGCTAATGAACGAATGGGTCCGTGTCAAACAGAACCGTTCGACACTTGAGGAGTGCCGCCGCGCACTATTAGCGCAGGCACGAGCTTAAGTCCAAGAGGCCCGAAGAAGACTGTAAAAGGAAGTGGCCAAGAAGCCGCCACCAACTCGCCAAGTTTGGAGACTGAAGTCTGAAGCGGCGAATCAGACTAAGGAGAAATCGTTGCAGCCTTCGAAGCAAGTTCAACCTCTGGCGAACCGACCGAAGTCGCCGGTAATTCCCATAACTTCTACGGAAGATGCAGCAGAATCATCCCGAAGGAGAAAGTCAGTCTTGGAGCGCCTCGGTCCAATTCCCGATGAACGAGGTAAAGCTCCGGTTCAAGAGCGTTTGGGCCCAATAAAGAAGCCCCAAATGACTCAACATGCTGGGGGTTGCCGTCACCTTCAACATGACAAGGAGTTCATGGTAGCTGCGCATACTAATTTGTGCATCGAAGTCCACGAACCCGCTGAGAACTCACGCCCAAAAAGGCATGTTTCGAGGCGCGTGACTTTTGAAAGCCCAAAGAAGGCAGTTCGTCCCCAAAAGGAAACATTATCGTCTGAGGACGATAACGTTATACCTGAGAAGTCGTGCTCACACACGATAGGTCACTCCGATCTTCAAGCAGACAAGTTGTACTATCGTGCTGGGGGTACGAGTAAAACCAGGAAAAGGAGTCCACGAGAACAGGAAACTCAATGCCCCTGTTCCAAACTTATTCGGGCAGTATTGTCTGAGTGCAACTGTATCAAGGCGGTCCCCGAAAGAGTTTCGATTTTCGAAAGGTTCAGTACCGAAACGTCGAAACCAAGGCCTAGGCGTTTTCGACGAAGAAGAAGGATAGTCGAAGACGGAGAATTTCCGAGGGTCACCACCAATATGACCAGCAAAAGGGCATCGACACGGGATAATCCCGAGTCAATTCCGCCAGTACCCCGGTATCTAACTCGCCTGTAGTCTGGAGCTATTACACGAGGAACTTATGGTAGGGTTCGGACAAGAATACCTTCAGAAGATGAAGAATCTGATGCCAGCTCCGCGGTTGCATCAGATAATACGGTATCTAGCGAGGGACAACCCCGCGAGGCACTTATGATAAGTGCAGAACAAGTGGCCAAGATGCTGGAAGAGGCCTTGGCTAAACAACAGGAAAGCTTCAGGTTCGAAATGCAGATGGCCATGCAGAACATGAGAGAAAGAAATGCAGATGGCCATGCAGAACATGAGAGAAATGCATGACCAACAAATCCAAGCATTAACGAACCAGTAAGGCGAGCCAAGTCGTCGTAACCAGGTTAATCTGGAAGATGAGGACACAAATGCGAATGAGACGCATAACGCCAATAATCCTCCCGTCAATGCAGGGGGTGGTAACGAGAATGCTAGTGAAAACATAGGTGAAAGCTTGAAAATCAAAAACCTCGAGAGCAAAATCAACACATTGATTTCCGCTCAAGAGATGAAGAAAACAGGCATTCCTTGTCCATACCCAAGAGAATGGGAATCGATCCTATATCCGGTGAAGTCCAATCTAATTAACTTCACGCCGTTTAATGGGATGGGTTCACCCAC